TGCTCTGAAAAAGTGGAGGCATTACCTATACGGGGTGACCTTCGAAGTGTTTTCGGATCACAAAAGTCTTAGATACCTTTTCTCCCAGAAGGAATTAAACATGAGGCAACGAAGGTGGATGGAATTTCTGGAAGATTACGACTGTACGATCAATTACCATCCGGGAAAGGCAAATGTGGTAGCAGATGCCTTGAGTCGTAAGGTGCAAGTAGCAGGGCTAATGATTAAGGAGTGGGGTTTGCTAAAATCCGTGTGCGAGTGGAAACCCTGTCTAGGGAGCCATAAGGTGATATTTGGCAATGTTAGGGTTACCTCCACTCTACTGTAACGTATTAAAGAGGCACAAAAAGAAGATTTGATGGTACAGAAATGGAAAGAGAAAGTGGATAAGGGAGAAACTACGGACTTCAATTTGAGTCCTGAGGGTATTTTAAAGTACCGAAACCGAGTGGTGGTACCAAAGGATGAGGCATTGAAAGCAGAAATTCTGGAGGAAGCTCATAGGTCTAAGTATACAATCCATCCGGGTAGCAGTAAGATGTATCAGGACCTGAAAGGGACCTATTGGTGGGATAATATGAAGAGGGAAATAGCTCAATACGTGCAGAAATGTCTTATTTGCCAGCAAGTGAAGGCAGAGCATCAAAAACCATCGTGTCTGTTACAACCCTTGGAGATACCCGAGTGGAAGTGGGAAAACATCACCATGGACTTCGTTTCCGGTTTACCGAGGACACAAAGAGGACACGATGCCGTTTGGGTGATCGTTGATCGATTAACCAAGTCGGCCCATTTCTTGCCGGTGAACATGAAGTACTCAATGGACAAATTGGCTCGACTGTACGTGGATGAGGTTGTAAGACTACACGGTGTTCCTGTGAGCATCGTCTCTGATCGGGATCCACGATTTGTGTCTCGGTTTTGGCAGAAGTTTCAAGAAACCCTGGGGACGAAACTCAATTTGAGCACTACCTACCACCCGCAGACGGATGGCCAGTCAGAACGGACAATTCAGACGCTCGAGGACATGTTACGAACGTGCATTCTGGACTTTGGAGGCAATTGGGGTCAGCACATGACCTTAGTCGAATTTGCATATAACAATAGCTTCCATTCGTCGATACAAATGGCTCCGTATGAAGCCTTATACGGACGCAAATGCCGCTCGCCGATTTACTGGGATGAAGTTGGTGAGAAGAAGGCACTAGACCCGGCAACCATTCCATGGATGGAAGAGGCTCAAGAGAAGGTCAAATTGATAAGGCAACGAATCCAAACCGCTCAAAGTCGCCAAAAGAGCTACGCGGATAATCGAAGAAAAGACTTGGAGTTTGAAGTTGGAGACCACGTATTTCTTAAGATCACACCTTTACGAAGTCTCACAGCAGGTAAAGGAAAGAAACTTCAACCGCGGTACGTCGGACCCTACAAGATCCTGCAGAGGGTTGGAGCGGTCGCGTATCGATTGGAACTACCGTCTAGTCTATCTCGAATCCACGATGTCTTTCACGTCTCGATGCTAAAGAAGTATCATCCAGACCCATCTCATGTGTTGCAACCGGAGGATATCGAAGTAGATGAATCACTGGCCTATGAAGAGAAACCGGTTCAAGTACTTGATCGAAAAGTCAAAGAGCTCAGAAACAAGAAGATTCCACTAGTGAAAGTACTATGGAGAAACCACGGAGTGGAGGAAGCTACTTGGGAAATGGAAGAGGAAATGCGAAAGAAATACCCAAACCTTTTCGGGAATTAAGGTGAGAAATTTCGAGGACGAAATTCTTTTAAGGGGGGAAGAGTGTGAGAGCCCGTAAAAACCCTAATATTTTTCCTAGGGTTATTTCCCCTTTAATTGCATAATTTTGCATTTTCTGGCTTAGAAATATTTTCTGAGAGGATTTTATGAGCAGTTATAGTTTTAAGAGGATTTTTCTAGCATTGGAGAAATTTTAGAAAATTAAGAGTAAATAGTGGACGTGGGACCCACTAGTGCGAAAAGTTCGGAAAAATTCGGCCAATAAGGTTAAGTTTCGGATACTGTGTAAAATTTATCGGGTGTTAAGAGATAAGTGGAGTGTGTGGAGTGATTGATGTGAGAGAGAAAAGAATGATAAGATTGCATTTAATAGAGTGACACATGTCACTTTCTTATTGGATACCTTTTATGAATCACTATTCACCTTTTGACATTTTTTTGACTTTTGACCCAACTAAGTAAATATCCAAAAATTCACCAAAAATCATCATTTTTCTTCTCTTGTTGGCCGGCTCTCCTTAGCTCAAGAAGGAAGGGAACTTCTCCATTTTTCAAGCTTCCACTTGGTCCAATCTACCACAAACCAAAGCCTAGAGTTGATTTCACTCCATAAAAACTTTCCTTCTAGTGTTAGTAAGTAGTTTGGTGAGATTTGTTTGAAGGCCTAAGGTGCTCCACATCATCCTCTCTCTTGTTTCTTGGTAAGTGAAGCTTGAAACACCCTACTACCTTTAATGATGGTTATATGATGCTTAGAAGTGGCATGAGTGTGTGAAAATGTGATTTATTTCTTGATTTGAAGAGTTATGGTGAAGTTTTTATTTTATTGGGATTTTTTTCTGGTTTAATATGATCTTGATGTTGGGGGCTTGTATGATGAATTGTAATGGTTGGAAATGACTCTAGTGAGTGTGAATTATGGTTAAATGCAACTAATTTTGGATTTGGTGTGAAATTGAAAAGTTAGGGTTCTTAATTCCCCAATTCTGTCCGGTTTTTGATCACTGGGTTAGAGGCCGAATTTGACTTTGCTCAAAACATGAAAGTTGTAGGTATTGATGAGGTTGATGTGCCTGTAAAATTTCAGGTCATTTGGATTAATGTAGAATGAGTTATGACGAAATTACTGTAGCTGTTCTGCTTTGAGCAGAATGCGAAAACTGCGATAGTAATTGGCCATTTTGACTGGAATTGGTTTGGATTTTGGAGTTGGTGTCTTCTGATGAAATGTAGCTGAGTGTCTTAGCTAACATATGCCTTTGGAATTTTGGCATTTGGACTTGTAAGGACTGAGATACATTGATTACAGTTTTTTGTGTTTTGCGAACCTGTTTTAGGAATTCTGGGTTAGTATTTGGCATTTTCGACCTAGTTAAGCTAGGAACTGGATTGAGTGGTCTTCTACATTGTTGTAGCCCTGTTTCATAGCTTCGAAACGGTGGGTCTTACACCCCCAATCGATATTCGTAGTGAGAATTGTGCCATTACCGCATAATAAGTGTAAAACAGTTTTTCCTAATCGGGGCCAAGACTATTGCTAATTTTAATTTCTGGTTTGCTATCGTGTTCATTTATGCATATGAAACCCTATTGGGGTTGTGTTTAGCATTGTTTGGTGACTCGTTCTCGAGTCTCATTGTATGTGTTACATGTTCTAGGGCTTGAAGGTAGTGCTCGACGGCTTGGTGATCGTGGTACATGAAAAACCACTTACTTGCTTGGTGAGTATACCACTCACTAAATTGTTACTATGTGGCTTTGTTAAATGTTATGTGATGCCTTGATGGCTTACTTGCATATTGGAATTGATTAAGGTGAGGGTGTACTTGACCGCCCTCACCTCTTTTGATATTGTCATTGATTGGCTACCGTTTTTATTGCATTACTGAACTTGATATATTGGTTGGTGAATTCCATTTCATGGAAACTGAATTGATGTCGTTTGGACGATGTCCAACGGCCTTACTGCATTACTGAGCTCAACCCCGTTTGGTAGTCAATTGGATCGAGCCGGCGAGGGCTTGGTCGTGAACATTGAATTGCCACGGGGACTGTATTGGGGAACCTTGTGGTAATGAGACCCTTGGTTCCGGTAAACTCGAGTATTACCAAAAGCTACTGAAATGGAGTGCGGGCCCGGTTGGGGTATGTTGGGTGGAAGGAATGGAAGTAAAGAGTTGTCTACGGTTTGGTATTTTAACATTGACGGAGAGTCAATGAGGTTGGTTCAAGATTGTAAGCGTGGAAATGGGCTCTTGAGAGCCGACCGTATCCTTTTACCGGTTTGCTTCATTGCTTATTTGTGCACTTTAAATGAAGGTTCATTCTTATATGACTTTGATTGCTTATTGGGTAGTATACCACTGGGCTTTGGCTCATTCCATGTTATTTGTTTTCCTTACAGGGATATAATTGCTTTTGAAAATGGACTGGATAGTCAATTGCCATACTGAGCTTGTAAATGTCTTTTGTATAGCTCTTGAAGTGAAACCCTAATGTTTAACGGGTTCATTTCCTTTTGATAGGCAAATCGAAGGTGTACTCCTTAATGGATAGTTTTGGCATGCCATTATGGTTGTAAATGTTGATTTCCGTTGTACATATATGCTTGGCTATGGTTTAGATAAATTTCGGCTTCGGTTTTCGTTTTATTTTATTTTATTTTATTTTGTGTTTTGACTTGTTTGCGCGCGATGTTATGTTCCGGAACGTTTTAGATTGACGTAAACCGTACCGTTAGTCCTGGCGAGAGCTGGGCAGGCAGTCCGCTAACCCCTTTGGTTCGCCTTAGGGGAAGGTGGGGCTGTCACAGTTTTAATATTTAGATGCCAAAGGACAGCAACATTGCAATTCAGGTGACAAAAGCAAAATAGTCTCTAATTGCTAAATAAACAAAAAAAGTAACAAGCATTCACTAATCTGATACCACTGTAATGAATGCAGCAATTGCAGCAGAAATAGAGTGATAAGGGGGAGAGAAACTAGACTTGAGGAAGAAGAAAGAGAGATATTATTCAAAATGATTTTTCCATGTTGCCCAATCCGGATTTCTGCATTCTTATACATCTCAAGAATAAAAAAATAACTACTTGATTGTTGACTCAGCATAACAGTCTAACTAACAAGGAAGATTCCCTCTAACTACTTGAAGGAAATACATTTTGCATGTACTATACTGGTATTCTTCAAGTGAAATACTATACTGGAAATACATTAATTCTTCAAGTTGTAACTGACAATCCAGTGCAAAGAGACCAAACAGTACTATACTTGTATTAAAGGCTAGACGGACACAAATTAATGGAAGGGGAGAAGATGGAGAAGGGGAGAGTATGTGTAACAGGTGGAACTGGATTTTTGGCATCATGGTTGATCAAAAGGCTTCTTCAAGATGGTTATTCTGTCAACGCTACAATTAGGTCCTCTTCAGGTTCATGTTTGCTAATTTACTAGTAATTAGTTCTCTACTTGAATTACTTTACCATTTCCGTCTGCAACTTTACATATCATCAGAACAACAGTTTTTGGCAACTAAGTAGGAGCTAATTTCAGAAACGAAGGGTCTGAGACAGAACAGCAAATTGTCTGCACCATATTTCTAACAAGAAATCAGAAGCTTTGGTCAGCAGAGACAAAGGGAATGAAGAAGACAGTGCCATGATAAAATTCAACAAGGAAAGAAAGGATTTTCCAGAGTAAAGGCGGTAATTAGGAGCCATCAAAGTTTCTGTCTGAGCTTTAAAGCCTAAATGTAGAGGCTAGACACTAAGATCAAATTGTAGATGGTCAAATGGCTCATGTTCCAGTGTTTCCTTGTTTCCATAGAATGGTTTTGAGCTTGCTCTTTAGAACCCAGTCATCAGTTGTTTGGGTTATTTTTCCCACTTATTAAAGATCCTTCAGAATTCAGAACTGAAAAGAAAAGTATCATCTAGACAATAACTAAATAAGAGCAAAGTAAGAGATAAAGCACATAGAACTTGAGAACTCAAGAAACACTTCTTTTATTTTTACTATGATATTAAAAACTCAAGAAACAATTGCAGAAAAACCATTGCAGAAGCGCAGGACAGCCATACGCACTACTGAACAACATGGATAAGTAAGGAACCTCAACAAACTCCATACACCAATTCTTTCCAAAACTACTGGACACTTATGAATGACAGTTTATATGATTTTTTAAAGGGAAAATTGTTGCCCAGTAGTTTGCTAAGGATGCAGAACAAAACCAATGCATAGGCTGATAACCTATTTCCCATTTCCTCTACCACATCGCCAATGAGGTATTTAAAGAAGCGAAGGAAAATCCCAATAGTTAAAACGGCTACAAGTCCTAACCAGCAGACTGGCATCTCAGATCATACTAATGAAAACGCAATGCGACAGTACATTTCATTATCAAAGAACAGACGTTAATCAGCTCAACAAACCCATTGGACAGACTTCAATGACGCTTAAAAGAAAAAATCAACAGGGAAACGGTGAATGAGAGGGCATACTATTTCCAGTTGGGAAGGAGCTTCTTGGTCTTTTTGTAGTAACGAGCGAGGCGGTGAATCCTGCGCTCCACCAGAATCAATCTGAACTTGGAATCCTTGTCCTTCCTGTTCCTCTCCAAATGCTTCCTGATTGCGATGGCCTTCTTGATCAGATGGTATAGATCCTCTGGAATCTCAAGTGCAAACCCTGCCCTCCGAACCAGAAAAAATCACTAATATTGTTATAAAAAATTTAAACAAAATAATGCGAATGCAATAAGAAAAATGATATTGAATTGGCGGTCTTTGAGATGAAGTTGGCGCAGAATGTGGGGAATTTTTCTCACTATGGACGGGAACACTAAGCTTTTGGCCTAATGCACAATAATTTGCAATACTGCATACGAAATAAAGCACACCTTCCTCCATCAATGCAACACTTGCCAGGCCATCCCAGAAAACCTTAAAGGGATTGTCTACACTGCAACTCTCGTACTCTCTTCTTGACATTTCCATCACATTATGAAGCCCTGAATCAAAGTCAAAACCTGCATAACCCCAAAAAAAAGAAAAACAAAAACAAAAAAAACCGCGTATCAATGCCAAGATTAAAGTGTTGTAACCTAAAATTGAAATGATTGATTCTCGAATCTCAATCTGTACAAGTGACAAGTCATTGGATTTACAAAGAGTGTCTCCTGTCTGGAAAAAGTGGGAAGAAGACCAGTTAGTATAGAAGTCATTGGTTGTGGGGATGGACCAAAAGGAGTCTCCCACAATGTATTCTAGGCCAAAAGACTGAATCAACAGTGAAGGAAGAATGATGAATGCTGGTGAAATTAAAAGGCGGGTAGGCATTTTTCGATCTTGGATAAGAATTAAATATACCGTGAGCCTTGAGGATCCCAAATTCCCACTCCACCCAGCACCACTTAACCCACTATTTCTCTCACCAGCAGCCACTCATAGCAACATCATACACCCAATTCCACTCCCTCCACCACCATCCAATTATTGGGGAAAAAATTTAGGGCAAATTAATTGGGAAAAAAATTAGGGAAACAAGGTTTGCAAATTAGTGCAAACCCTGCCCTCCGAACCAGAAAAACTCCTTCCTGAGCCTCTGGACATTGCCGGAGTCGTCGACCTTGTAGAACTAGAGGATGGCAGCCTTGGCCTTCTTCTTCTTGGGCTTGGTGTAGGGTTTTCTTCTTGCGCTTCTTGGAGCCACCACGGAGGCAGAGGAAGAGGTGGATGGTGGACTCCTTCTGGCTCCTTCCAGATGTTGTAGTCGGCTAGGGCACCACTGTTCTCCAGCTCCTTGCCGACGATGATGAGGCGCTACTGGTCCGGCTGCCGCCTCCGCTGCTGCTCGGGATTTGGGAAACGAATAAAGGGGGTTGAGAATAATGGGGTTGATTGAGGGATTGAATGTGTGAGGAGAACAGATGCGTCTGGATGTGGGGACTGGTCGACGGGGGAGTAAGAGTGGTTGCTTTTCTTAGTGTATGGTACCCGCGCCACTTTTTTTCATTTTTAGTTTGAACAAATTTCGGTCACCGGTCAATCACGACGATTCAAGTCAATTTTAGGTTCAATTTTTATTTAAATTTACTAATGTATTTCTAATCACTACTTCTTAATATATTTATTAAAAAATTATAATGGATGAAATTTTTTTGCTAAATTCAAAGAACTGGTAAATGTTCTCTTTCTCAAGTTATAATAGTTTATAGTTGTTCTAACTAGAAACTTTCATTAATTTTTTCTAGTTAAAAACGTAGATTTATGGGTAATTTCTTTTTTTTTTTTTTGCTTTCACATATTTAATTTATGTTAAATACAAAACCTACCAACACTTTTTGAATTTTACTTACAAACATTTATGTATTTAACATAAATTAAATGATTCAGAGTGAAATGCCCATAAAGAGCAGAATATTTGTTCATGTAATGGAGGAAACCCACAAAGAGTTGGTACTTTATGGGCCATTTCTTTTTTTAAAAAAATTTAATTTATGTTGAAAAGATAACCTGCCAGTTTTCGTTTTGTAAGAAATCAGTGTAACACTTTTTGAATTTTACTTACAAACATTTATAAATTTATCATAAATTATATGTTTGAGAGTAAAATGCCCATAAAAAGTTGGTACTTTGAATAGATAATGCTCATTTGCCCATAAACTACACTCCCTGAAGGCTATTTTGTTAATTACTTTGTAGTACTTTGTTATTCCTTTGCTAATACTACTTGGCATGTAGTACAAAGGATAAATCTGGCATAAATTTCTTATTCCATTGATAAAAAGACCTGCCTGCCTTATAACTATTGTAATGAAAGATATATCTTTAGAGTTTATAACAAATTATTACTTAAGTTTGAGAAAATTATAAAATATTTATGCATAGTTTATCAAGATACCATTCGCAATTTCCTAATAAAAAAATAGGGGCTAAATTGTAAAAGTTAGGGTGCCATAATAGAAATAATAAAATTGGTGTATTACATATGGGGGTTAAATTGCAAAAGTTAGAGTGCCATAGTAGAATTAATGAAATTGGTGAATTACATATGGGGCTAAATTACAAAAGTTAGGGAGTAATAATAGAATTAAAGAAATCGGTGTACTACATATGGGGCTAAATTGTAAAAGTTAAGGTATCATAATGGAATTAATGAAATTTTTTACAACATTTGGGGCTAAATCGCAAAAGTTAGGGTGGCACAGTAGAATTAATGAAAGTGACTTAGAAATAAGTACTTTAAACAGTGACGATTAATTCTTGTCACTAAATCCGAATCGGTAGAGTGACAGTGACGATATTAGAAGTTGTCACTATATATATCATTTTAGTGACAACTTTTTCAAGGTCGTCACTGAAGACTTAGTTGCTTTGAGCAATTATGACAACTCTCCTTGTCGTCACTAAACAATCACGTTTTGTGACGACTTTTGTCGTCACTAAAAAATGTTGTCACTAATGACCATATTTCTTGCAGTGTAGTTTGTGATGAAAATAACGGGTCGTCACTAAACATTTAGTTGTTTTGATGCAATTGTGACAACTTTAGGTGTCGCGACTAAAGAAGCTCCTTTTGTGACGACTTATTGTCATCACTACAAAATGTTGTCACTAATACCTTTTTTTTAGTGATCAGTGACGACAACAAAAAGTCGTCAGTAAATAGGCCAAGCAATAGTGATGATGTTCTTAATGTTGTCACTATTGTGTGTTCTAAACACTCCCGCGCTCTTGCTAAATCTTGGCGGGAATTTACTAGTGACGACTTTTTTAAGTCGTCACAAATAAGTTGGCTCCCATTAGAGGTTTGTGACGAGTTAGAAAGTCGTCAATAAAGGATCCACTTTTGTGACAACTTTTTTTCGTCACAGAGAAAAGTTGTCACTGATGACCAATTTTCTTGTAGTGTGAAGGGATAAAATAAACACTCAAATATATGTGGGAGAGAAGAAAATAATTAACTCACCATATTATTAAAATCTCAAATAATGAAGAAAGTCACACCACAATAGAAAACCTAACAAATTCTTCTAGACTCTCTTAAGAAAATAGTCTAAACTAATGCCCTATTTATATCCTACTAGACTTGTTAGGAAAGAAACCACTGGCATAAGAAATTATCAAATAAAATACAAATTCCTAAATCATACAACTACTAAGAACTTAACTCCAATAAAACTAATAAATAAATAAGTAAATACTTTTAGGTTTGGTTTAGTTTACCGACATTCTTTGTCAGCCCTAATTGATAGTAACATGAAAATCAAGTCTAGTAAATGAAAAAAAAAAAAGAAACTCTAGACCTAGATGTGGTCTTTCACGATTCACATTAACCATCCATTCTAGAAATTTTTGCCATTTTTCCTTGAGGGAGTCCAATCTAGGCTTTTGATGTTTTCTTTTTCGTTTCAGACTTCAGTACCTGCCAAAGTCGTTTTTGACAAATTTTTTCTTATTCTTTATACGGATGAAATCGTTTTTTAGTTTTTCTTCTGCATTGAATTCTTTTTTAATTCTATATTATTTATCCGTCTACTGCTTTTGTTATTGTTATTACTATTATTATTATTCTGTGAGTGTGTGTCTACTCCTTTTCACTTTAGAAATGAAGTCTTTGTTCTAAATATATATGTTTTCCTAGGAACTGTTTGCTACATAAAAACTCTTTTTCCTTTTGTCTCGTTCCTTCCTAAATTCCTAAGACTACAAGATTAAGAAACTTTAAAATTCATAAAATTATTTCACTTAGATGGATACAACCTGGGCTTTTGTCTAACATTTTGAAGATTACATGTTAGGAAATTGGCTTAATTTCTTTTAGGTAGAATTCTTGTTCTGTGTGGAAGTAACTAGTTTCTTAATTGGTTTTAGTTACTTGAAGTAGTAGTCAAGTAAAACCCTATTTAGCTAAATGAGTTTAGGAAATAATATTGGTCTCCAATTGTTATTTGGCTTTTTGACAGTAATGTTCTCTATAAATAGGTGGGTTGGCAAACTACACAAGCGACACACAAGAGATACACAAGGGCATCATGTAGTCTTATACATGGGGTGTGAGAGAGGGTTCTTGGGAGATGAGAGATGGTATACAAGGGTTGGGTTTGGGTTCAAGTTGTATTCTTGTATAGGGTTTTCCTCTCATAATAAAAAACGTGTTTCTCTCCGTGGATGTAGACTCAATGGTGGAGCCGAACCACGTTAAATATTGTGTGTCGTTTATCTTTCATGCTTGTGACTTGTTCCTCATTAAATAGTTGTACACTTGATGTCTTAATAGTTGTTTGTTCCGCGTCTGGATCCTAACAAGTGGTATCAGAGCCTGGTTGCGAGACTGGGTAATAGAGCAAAATTCATGGTTGGATCCTAGTTAATTATTGAGATCAAGTGGATTGGTGGCTGTTCCTAATTGAACGATTTAATGAGTGGTATCCTTATTTCAATGACTTGGCAAAAAGCATTGATGGTGAAGGATAGAAAGTCGAAAAGTATGGAAATACTTGACGGTGAATTTAGGCAGGTGATTCAAGAGTCAAGGAAAAGGTGGAGTCCAATGTTGATTTTGGACGTGACTCGGTGGAGACTTTCTCACACCTCCAACAGTTGATATTTCATCCCGATAGATTTTAGATTTCGGTTATGTTTTTGGGTGGTGTGGCACGTGTCCTAAAGAAACAAGGAGATCTAATTTTCATTCGTCAGAAGACTCTGACAGATACGAGTTTTTCGTTTTAGGTGGAGTCTTGGCAACCACACGTGGCGAGACAGTCCTGAGGATGTGAAGAAATATGGTGAATTTACCACTTGATTGCCTCAATAATTAGGGTTAGAGCTCACAGAAGGGAATTCCAGATTGCAAGTGGTGGTGAGAAGAAATCCTGCAAAGGGAGATGGTGAATTGAGGCACCTTCTCATGAGTCAACTGAAGATTAGACTCGGGACAACTACGCATGTTCATTTGTCGATTGAATCAACTTGGTGTCAGAACTGTATTGATTCGGGTGTGTAGTTTGGTACCATATTATTTGGTAGTTGAAGGCAAATGATTGCTAAAAGAAATTTTCGCCAAGGTAGAGATTTGTTAGGAAATTGGCTTAATTTCTTTTAAGTAGAATTCTTATTTTGTGTGGAAGTAACTAGTTTCCTAATTGGTTTTAGTTACTTGAAGTAGTAGTCAAGTAAAACCCTATTTAGCTAAATGAGTTTAGGAAATAGTATTGGTTTTCAATTGTTATTTGGCTTTTTGACAGTAATGTTCTCTATAAATAGGTGGGTTGGCAAACTACACAAGCGACACACAAGAGATACACAAGGGCATCATGTAGTCTTATACATGG